CTTACATTGGGAAATTCACAACGCTACCGAGAACTGGCGCATAAAAACGTTGTCAACGTGGATTACTTGAACACGTCTTTGTGGATACAAACTCTCTTTACTCTATAATGTCTTACTCTTACTTACATGACATGGAAAGCGATGGATCTGACGATAATCACCCGCCGATGAAGCCAGAAGGCTCCAACAGCACCAAACCCAAACTACCGCCTAACACACTGCCCAACCCCCCATACGACACTGGCAGTCGACACCTGGCCCTTTGGGGCCTGGTGCTCGCTCTCGTCACAGGTTCCATTTTCATCATCATCGGAATCGTCATTTACGCCACATCCACCACTCCAGGGAGGTTCGTCATCCTTGATCACCTTAATGGATGGGCAGATCTTGCGCTCGGCCTGTGCCTGAATGCATTGGTGACAGTGTGTACCCAAGCGACAGGCTACGTTCACGGGACAACCCTCAAATGGGGGCTGGCAAAGGAGGGCCGTCTCAGATTCAACGCGAATCTGCGGCTATTCAGCGCAACCAAAGGCGCCTTCTCAGTGAATGGTGCTGTGATTAACGCGATCTACACCGTCTCCATCATTTTCTCCTATGCGGCAAGCTCGACGATCTTCATTCACTCGTCTATCCTCCCCGAGTTCATCCAAGAAAGGGTCGACATTGATCCAATTGGGGGTCCCTCAACGCTCGTGGCCTTCTTACCCCCTATCATCCTTGGGACTGTGCTGGTTCTCCGGGCAGCCCTCGGCCTGGTCGCATTCTTCAGCACCCATGTTCCCACATGGAGTAGCAGTCCATTGGACGTCACCTCAGCTCTCGTCTACTACGGATATATCCGTCACCGACCCCAAAGATGCATGTGCTCAGTCTCAAAGATCAAAGACTCGCCTGTCGACCCCATTCGACCGCTGTCGCGTCAGCCTTCGCCATGGTCCTCTCACAAAACTGTCCCCCGTGTCGTGTGGTTCGTCTGGAGTACGTTAGCGGTATGGGCTGGGTGGCTTATTGTATTGAATACCTGGGAAGTACGTGATTCCGTGAGGGCTGGGGGTGACGGAAATTCGCCACGCAGAATCGGCATTGGCTTGTTGTGGTTGGCAGCCGTTCAGAGTGCCGTCACAATGGCCTTGCACTGCTGCGAGCTGGTGGCAACTCTGGCGAGGGACGAGGCAGTCTGGAGAATGGCGTCGAGTCCAACAGGTGCTCGGCCAGCTGGGAACCCTCTGAAGTTGATGCTAGGGAGCTGGCAGAGCTCTGTACTGGTCTCGGCGAAACCAGCTGTTCACTGGTTCTTTAGGATTGGCATCGGTATGGTTGTCGAGGGATTTGACGTCACATTCCTCGCTGTTTTCTTCCTCATCGTTTTATTCCTTATCGCAGTGTATGTGACTGTTGTGGCCACACGTCGGCCGCGGGGACCACAACCCGTAGCTTACGGCCACGTTCAGACGCTCGCTGATCTTGTGGATGAGTGGTCAACGATAATGTATTGGGGGCATAAGAAGGAAGAACAAGGGGCGGGACCGTGGCCGGTTTGCCATGCTGGAACAACCAGCCTCGGGCCACTTCCGCCGATTAGGATAGAAGAGTTCTATGCTTGAAGTGCATAGGAATGTACATCTCCAGCTGAACGTTTATCATGCGATTCGTTCTATTTAGGAATTCTTGGTATGAAAATTTGGTTGTAATGTACACGGACTTGCCAATCTTCGAGGGTGTATAATTTTTACAGAAAGAATGAGGTCTGGTAAAGATCTCGCGGATTTGATCCAAAAACGTGTGGAACAATCCGGTAACATAGAACGGCCTTGAAGGACAGCATTTCGGGGGCTTGGGAAATAAGTAAGCTTACAAGACCTGGCCGTTCTTCGGAAGGATGTATACGCACACCAAGGCCTTCATCCACATTACTACCATCGCGACAGACCCCCCTCTAACATATCCAACAAACTCGGAACCTCTTTCAATCCAGCTTGTATTTAAGGCGGTATATCGCATTATTTAGACCAATCCAGTCATTCGCTCGGAACGAGCTCAGGTTTAAAAGGCCGTAATCCTCAGTTACGATCACGTTCGCATCGCGTCTACCATGTACCATAGACCGTGTACGTCTCACGGACTCTCACCTACTATACCTTGTTTCAGAAATGCGGTACCGCTTCAAAGAACGAATGGCATTCCTTAGGTCTCATGTTGATTAGTCACGCTCCAAATGGACCCAAGGCGAACAGACGATATCAAATAAAACCAAGTTTTGGTCAACGCCAACCAATGTTCGTTACTTAGGTCTGGACTATATATAATCCTCCACATCTGCACCGTCACACTACCACTCGCATCCCCATGACGCCGTCGTCACCCAGGATGTACTTTCAGTCCTCTCAGACAATTAACAAGCCTAATGAGATCATTCTCTACAAATGCTATGGAGAGAAACAATGCCTTCTGACCCAAGAGATTGACGCTGACCTGGTGTTATATAGTGCCACCGACAGATGGACAAAGAGTAAGTCCCGGCACTCTATTCTAAAAATTTCGAGGTCCTCTTAACTCCTAAGCGGCTCCACAGCTGACCCATCTAGCTCTCTAACCTCTGCGCATGTCCACACCCGACTATTCAGATCCCTCAATCTCATCCGCAACCTTCAGGTAAACAAGGTAAATGAGGTTAATATCTATTTTCCTTACATTGACCCTATCAACGACTATTCTCGGAGAATTGTCTCAGCGTTCACACTGCTCTGTATAGCGTGGTGCTCCTACTCCATATCTAGTTCGAGTAGGTGTCCAGAGTGCAACGTACGAGCGACAAAGACTTAATTATAACGACCGCCGTTCGCCATACACTCCCCCCTCACTCCCCGCGCGCATACGAAGTAACGAGCAATGGGTCGGTAATTTCATTTCTCGTAAAAATAAAATAAAATAAAATGCTACCACCATCCCCAACTTAACTAGATTCGACTATGAAATCTGGGGCGTAGTCCACGCAAGTCAAGCCGTAGCCGAGCCGAGCCGAGCCAAACACTGTACCGAAATAATGCAAGCGAAACGCATGTTAGTCGTTGCGGGTCACAATCCCGCCTAAGCGACTAAGCCGCGGACTATAACATTAATTCCTGCTCTAGCTAGACTGGCCACCGAAACCATCTCCTCTACACACCCGACATGCGTATCCTTCATCTAGCAGCCATCCTTTCCGTTTTTTATATCACAAACACATTACCGAATCCTCCTACGCAAGACCAAGTGCCCTCGTTGGAACACTTAGCTTTGTGAGTGCTGTATTATCACAATTATCCTCATGATCCTTAGACTAATTCAGCTCCTTAAGAAAAGAAATTCTCGAGTCTCAAGATGCAAACGCCAAGCCGCGAGCAGCCATTTTCCATCAAAGTGAACAAGCCGAAGCACTCGCCATGAAATGTATGCGGTCGTCGCAGGATCCAGCGTTCATGTTGTACGCCGCGGGTCACCTTCGAAACTATCTTCGCTTCAAGCTAGGCATATCAAATGTAATCAAAACATACGAGAAAATGTATCCAGAAACCATGGAGGCCGAAATATTGAAATGGTCGGAACGATGGGCAACTCCTCAGGAGATATGGCTGCTATATCGGTTCATGAAGACCCCAATGTGAGTCAAACCCACTAGATCCAAAACTTTTTTGATACAAATCATTCAATGCTGCAGGGAACGTTATTCGTATTATGACGGGCGATACCACCTGAACTCATACTGGACCTCTCGTATCTATTCCAAGCCTGAAATGTACGGCGCTGTTTCGAATTACATCCTCGGGATGGACCTCGAATGGGACCAATTGAAGAACATTACTTTTCGTGATCCTTCCTCGTACGTGGTTCCTTCTCATGGGCAATTCAAGAGTCCGGTATTACGAAGTTGTTAGTACAAATAATATCGTAACTGACGAAGCCTGGTCTATTACCTCCCTCTCTTAGCCAAAATAAGGCAAGATCATGGGTCGACATTAAAACGAAGGAGGTGGGGGTAGGGCCAAATGGGCGTTTGCAATCCCTAATGGAGATGGACTCTGAGGATAGGAGGATTATCGAGACCGAAACCAATTATGCCATGCGGATCGGTACCCTTGGATTTACATTGCGTCAAGCCGACGAATTGAGCAAGATCTTCGCTAGCAGCCTTAACGGGTAAGCTTACGCCCTTGGCTCAGTGCTTTATCTAATCTCTCGATTTTAGGAGGTACCAGTCCAACAGTGCCTCGTCATACATCAGGGCACGGAGGTAAGTCTGGTAGCAACGTCCTGCTCCAGATCTAAGACCTTTCGATCTAGTGACGACTTTGTCGAGCGATATTCGGCCATTCCCAAAGGCTTTGGCTTCGATAAATTGGCTTGGGATCAGAAGGTCGCTTTAAGGCAGCTCGCTTTAGTTGTTGAAGTGCATTGGGGCACTTTCAAGGAGATTATCATCGATTCCGGCTACCTTTGAGAAATCCTATATATACAGTTCCATCTTTCATGTCTCGGTCAAGGAGAAATCAAATGGCAAATTATAAGGCACGAAGCCAAGCTAGTAGAAATGCTCTCTAATTGCGTGGTACACACGGGATATGGGAGTAGCCAAAAGCACCAGTGTCGTGTTGTGGACTAATCGCACCGCAAGTAAGCGAAGTGAGAGGAATGTGAGGGTCGAGATAGAGCGATAAGTCTTTTAAATGAAAGCAAAAGTACTGAGGTCTGTTTGGGTACAGTCCGCAACGCCGTGTATAAAATCCAGCTGCGGTAAACAATCGTCGTCCAACCTCTGTTCCTCGGTGACGTCACGCGCCACGGAGTCATCGGGTTTCACGAGCACAGAACCAGAAGAGTGCGCTTGCCTCTTGCTGGTAATGTTATTGCGAGCCCGAGCTAGCCGGACTCCGCGTACACTCCATTTTGTAATATCCTTCATTTGGATTGCATCACAATCTGGTAGCTATATATTATATTAAACCTCCACTTAGCCCACCGGCCTGATGGTCTAGTAGTATGATTCGCCCTTAGGGTTCCTAGAGAATGCATTGGGCGAGGTCCTGGGTTCAATTCCCAGTTAGGCCCTTCTTTTGCTTTATTTTCACTGATTCAGAGTATTAACCGCTCTCTTCCATTGCACATTTTTCTCTGGCTTGGGGCCTAACCATTTTCTACATTTGGATTGGTTCTCATTTATCAGACGGCAAAGCAACTAAATAAGCACATAAACGAGAGGAAAGGAGAGGGGAGTGTCATCTACGCACACAAAGATTCAGAAGCCTTAAAAAATGGGGTATATGAAACGAATGGCCTTTGGGCTCCACGATCTGATCCTGGGTTATATCTACACTCCAACCAAGCGGGACCCGTCAATTGGGTGCTTGAACAGCGTATAGGTGAGTTGATGTCGTCGTCGGGCATGGGGGCTGATGATCAGGGCATCCGCCGCTCCAATCGTGATTCATCGCCGTCTTGGCTGACGCTAGAACAAACGAAGGAGCGAAAATTAGTGTTCTGCAATACGCCGTAGTGTTACAAAATAGTCAGGTAGAACCAACCTGCGTTTCGCGTCCAGATATTCCCCGTTATACTTGTAATGGCCATATTGCACGTTTTCGCAACCTGTGGGTTTCCATTGGCAGCGACACCCTTGAGGATTTCAATCCCACCAGCCCGCACGATCTCCTTTCGGAGATCCCCACCACCGACATCGCCCAAGAAGCTGACGGCAAGGGCCAATTCGATGTGTACTTGTGGGAATGGCACGTCCGCCGCTGTCCTCAACGCTGCCAACAGAGAGTCTACGACTCCTGCTTCGACCAGTTGCTTCCGTGTCGAAGAGCCCCATCTATTAGTGAGCAACACGAAAGAGATTGATCAGGACGTAATCGAGAATGGAAGTAACCCCAAAAGGCTTACTCTGCGCAGCTGAACCTCGCAATCGCAAAAGCGAACGACCCTAACGGCATGATCGAGTCTGAGGGGATGATCTGCGGTAATCTCGCAAGCCCTTTGGCTGCACCAGCCTCCAACAGAATCTTGGCCATATCTCCACTGTTCGGCCTCATCAAGCATCCAATCGCCCTCGCACTCCACATCAACACATCCGGATCCTCCGACATCAAAAAGCACTCCATCAACGGCTCCACGCATCCCGATCTGTGCAATAGCTTGGCCAGCTTGATGGACCTGGAGACTCGTGCGATGGCGTAGAGGATAGCGCAGATGTCGTCTGGCTGTGCGGTACGTGAGTCGAGCAACTTGCGAAGCTGACTGACTACGGCGGGTATGACACCCTGCGATACCAGCGTGTCTGCCTGGCTATCGGTGTAGATGAGGTTACCTAAGCACCACGCTGCGATTTGAGCCGTGGGTCCGGACCCGGTCAATCCGTTCCTCAAAAGGAGTGATACGAGGTCATTCTTGATGAGACCAGACGCAATCTCCGCACTCCGTGATACTCGAGATAGGACCCAGATCGAGAGAGCTGTGGCGTCCTGGTTTCCGGAGAGAGCAATGATCTCGAACAGGATCATCGCCGCGTTCGTGCGGAAGATCGTGTTGGCGCTCAAAGGGTCGTGCCTAATGCGCGGGTGTGGAGACTTTAGTTATCATACCGAATGCCTGGATGGTGAATTCTCACGCTAGCATTCCCAACGTCTTGAGCACGATTTCAATGCCTTGTCCATCCGCGGCCCGAGTCTTCACCAATAAGACTAGGTTCGGGATAATCCCTGCCGTTATAAACTTCTGCGTCTCCTTTTCCGACTGTGAAACGAGCTCCTGAGTCAAGAGAAGGTATTCATCGATGGTCTCGCGTTTCCTCCCCTCGGCCAACTCCTGGTGAATTGCACTCGCCACTCGCACAGCACTAGGACCTGGAAGAAGGAGGGGTCGAAACTAGTTAGATCCATCATTCATCGAACAAGTGAAGACACATACCCGAGGAGGCTGTCGACGCCTGAGGAGGGCGATCATACACTGCCATGGGCCCTAGTGTTTGCTGCGCGTACATTGCTGCAGATGTCGCTTCCGGCTGATAGACCGAGCCTCCACCGGACGACATGACCGACGGCGCGTACGAAGACTGGGCGCCCATAGGCCTCGTAGCCGTGGAGTTGAAGCGTTGGAGGTGAGGTTGGGGTGAAGTCATCACCACCGACATCCTAGGATCCATCGGTGCCTGTTGCACGTATTGAATTGGAGGCGGGGTCGACGACATGATGGACATCCTCGGATCCCGCATTGATGCCTGGGCATATTGAACTTGGGCTGGATTGGGTGACATTTGCATGGACATCCTCCGATCGAAACTCGTTCCTTGCTGTTGTTGCTGCTGCATCTGATACATCTGGGCTTGTTGTTGATCCATCGGTGCGTTCATCATAGGCCTCGCGACAGAGCCAAACCGCTGGAGATGCGGTGATCCCAGCGCCATCTCCTCGTTGTTCTGAACATAGTATGGCTGTTGCTGTTGTCGATTGTGAGGGAATTGATCTTCAGAAGCTGGGGGTGTTGAAGAGGGAGAGCCTGTAGATACATCCATCAGGTTTGGCGAGTGGGCTCAAGGGAGTGGATAAATAAACGTACCCATCATGTTGTAAGGCATCCTTTGCCCGTTGCTGCTCAATCCTGCAGAGTTCGGCACTGACGGTGGGGTTTGAGGTAACCGCCTCCCTGACTGTTGCTGTTGATACCCAGAGCTCGATTGCCCAGGCATGTATGATGAGCTCTGTCCCATAGTCTCCTGCCCTGGCGGCGGCCGTCTCTTCTCGTCGGGGTAATATGACGAGACTTGCTTTGGCGGGATGAAGACGGATTGAGCCGACGGCGGTGTGTACATTGGCTGAGCCGATTGACTGGCCATCATCATTGGAGCTTCGTAGGTGACGATTGGCGCAGGGCGATTAACTGGGTTTACAACAGGGTTATCCGGAGGAGGGCTATCGTACGCGGGAGGGGGGAGGGAGAGAGATAGGGCGCCTAGCTCCGCTTCTGCTTCCGTAAGCCCTATGTCGATTGCTTCCGGATTCGCTACGGTCAAGCGAGGTGGCAGGAAGGCTATTTAGAGAATACGTCAGAAACTACAGCGCGATTTGATACTGAAATCGCTCACATGATGATCGCTGAGGTGGCGAAACGACGGGTTGTGGTTGCTGCTGAGGTTGCGGCGCAGCTTGAGATGGTGTGGGTGCAGGTTGCGAGAGGTTTGAAACAATCTGGCTAAACTTTGGCCGGGTGGAAGGGTTCACATTCCATGCAGTCTCGACGATGCCCCAATGGTAATCGCTTAGTGGGTGCGTGGCGTCCTCGTCAGGCCGATCAGGCCGCTCTCCTTCCCTGACGACGAGCTGGTACACTTGGCTGTCGGAGAGGAAACCCCAAGGTGGACCCATCGTGTACATCTCGTACATCACCATCGCAAAGGCGTAGACGTCGGATTGCTTAGAGACTTTCTGCTCGGCAAACTATGTTAGAAGAGAGTGATCTTTGATGGTATTTGTGAGAAACTTACCCCTTTCCATGATTCTGGGCTAAGATAGGAGGCGGCTGATGGTACGCCACTGAATTGGTATAGACCCACGTCCGTGATGAGGGCGTGACCGTCATTGGAGACCAGGACGTTTGTTGGCTTGAGCCGTCCATGGATGATATTTTTCTGTCATAGACACGAAATGTCAGCCGGAGGGTTCATAGGGTGGGGCTGGAATCAAAATGGAGGTGTATTTGGGAGATCGGTGAACAGGTGGCAACCATCATGCTTTCGCAAAGGAGGACGAAGGTCAATCATGGCATCGTTTTAAGACTTCCGTTATTCAAAGATGCTGGCATTATGCCCTCATGCCAGATGTACCATAGAGCGAGAGTGGAAGATAGACACTCACAGAGTGCAAATACTCCATGCCAATCGCTGTCTCCGCCACCTGCAGAAAAATCGATCATTGAGCTTATATCAGAAAAAAGCTAGCTTTATCACCTACAAGTTTGAGTGGAGATAAATCCGGATTTGCTTCAAGGTATTGCTTCACATTTCCATTCTCCAGATACGGAGTGATGAGGCACATAGCGGGGCCCGGTTCGAACGCCGAGCCACCAAGGAGCTCTTGCACGTGTTCATGTTTTATGGCCTTGTATCGACGGACAAAATCTGTGACTGCCTAGAGAATCATAGGAATGAGTTGAGTCGTGGGGGGTAGATAGAAGACAATAGGGTGGGTAAGGTGCGATATGCTTCTGGTGCACTATTGCTTAGCAATCGTGCTCCACTCGGAAAATTGAAGCAGGTGGTGCACTTCGCGATGAGCTTCACTGTGGAACGGTTCGTGCTCCAAGCCTGTCATGGGGTGCCACGACGCATGAGAAGCCCAAGGACAACCGAAGCTAGCCGGCTAAAGCTCGGGGCTGGATCATCCATCCTTCACTCGATTAGAACACTGTCTGAAGCACCGCTGGCAAGCGCGCCATCGGCACGCACATCGCCCTCGCCTACGATTGAGACTCACTTGGAGGGTACTCTCTTGGGGTAGTCGTTTGATGGCTACCGTCGCATCCCGCCAAGTTCCCTTCAGAGCCAAGCCAGAGTTGTCTCCAGATGTGAGTAAAGCACGGTTATCGACATCTATTTCGTCTGAAGGTATCATAGGGTCCATGTGTGTGGGGTGGCAGTTCGGTGGTGTTGACGTGGGCCGAAAATGATTCAGAGTCGAGTTTGTTGATACACAAAGCCAAGTGTTGCTGATGAATCTGGGCGATCTATTTAGTGATATGTTAAGAGTTGTGTACAGAAGATGATACAGGGGATTGGAGATAATCGGACAGAAGATGACAAGTTCCGCGCGCTACTTTACGGTCGTTTCGGCGAACACCAGTCATCCGGCGTTCCTGGGCTGTCCGCCGGTTATAGCCACAATCGGATCCCCTCTATAAGCGCCAGAGTGGTTAACTTTGGCTCCCCCTCCTTTCTGGACTTGTCGATCATGGATAGCCCCCTTCGCACAGCGATGAACCAGCAGTCACCAGGATCAGCGAACGAGGCCACCGCATTCAATCCCTATCAACCATACTCTCAGCCTGCTCAAACGAAT